CTCCCGCTCTGGGCAGTGACCAGCCTAGAGCAGACTTTCAAGCAGATGACACCTGTCAAATACCTGTTACGAACTGCTCTGGAAGATGTTTAGAAACTGTGGGTGATATTAAGGCAGTAGGCACCATCATTTTTTAGGCTCTTTTGTTTTTGGAAAGGTTATTGCATCAAGCTTTCACCAAGATGAAGATCTATAGAACTGTGGTTTATGTCAATTTTTATTTTTGTGGCAGTGAAATACAGACGAGTCCTGAAGAGCAAAAAGCTTGACTTAAAGTTCTTATTGTCTACATTAGCTTTTCAAAATTGAAAGGTATTGTAAGAGACTGTGAGGCTGTGCATTAAGAGGCAGCAGGGGGATGGTGCAGTACTGAATCCAGCAATAACTGCCATAAGCACCATAACCAAACCAGTGCTGTTCCCGTATGCAAAAATAATTGAGGTGGCAAGGCAAGAGGAATTTTTTCAGGGTGTATTGATTTTAGTTTGACAAAAGTTAGCTGAAGCTACGAATAATTCACGAAGAAAGATTGTCCTCACCATTTCAGAGACTCAGTGCTGTTGAATTTGAATAATATTTGTAGATTTTGCAATGGAAAGTACTTTTCTCAGTACGTTCTGGAGGAGAATGGAGCAAAAGTATAAGCACGCGAGATGCTGAACACCATACCTTGGCCCTGTCTACACAGGGGCCTCAGGGAAGGCAAGCGTTAAAGCTGTTGTGTCTGACTTCCCAAGAGATCACAGTGTTCTCAGCCTCCGCTGAGCAAAGCTTTGTGTGTCTCCCCTACCTCTTGTTAATAGCCAAGGAAAGCTGATAAGGTAAAGATCTGTGTGGTCCTTTTTCATAGCGTGCCCTGCTGTGAGACTCTCTCTATGCTTGCTTATTTGTTTAGGTCTTCTTTGACTAATGGGCAATGGGTAAAGTCAATTGAATGTTGATATTAGCTTTAGACTCTTTCTTACCTACTAAACCTCACAGGTATGAGATGAGTTACAGAAGCTCCTTCGTTTTTTCCTTATTAATGATTCTGTTGTCTTGCAGTTGTTATTTACATGTTTATCCTGCGGTAGTTCTTTTCTGTATGCAGCCAGAGCTCTATCGGTTGCTTTCCAGACAAGCTAAGACTTTGAGGAAGATTTTGGTGTTTGGAGGGATGTTGGTTGGTTGCTTGATTGAACAACAGCGAGCTGTCGTAATGTAAATTTTCATCAGAATGGCATCTGATAACATGTCACATTAAACATAATGGTTAGCTGGGAGTTAAGTAGCTGTTTGAAAATCTGTTCATTCCCTGCAAATCTACAGCTGTGGTCTGTCACCAGAATCTTTAATTGCAGACGTGCACAGTGTAGTTCACTTTCCATGTTTACAAGTGTTACGTTTGGATTCAGCTTCCTAAATTATTCCTGTTGTGTATGTCCATAGTGCAGAGTTTGTATTCTCAAATTATGGGAAAGCCAGACTGTTTCCCAATGTCTTGCCCCATCAACCTCCAAAAAAGCTTGCTTTATTTTGGGAAATCCCTGATTTTTAGTTAATCAAAGTCTCTCTCATAGGTTTTTACCCTCCTTTCAGAAATTCGAATGCTGTTTTCTTGTGGCCTTGTAAGAGGCTTTCTGACTCCTCTTAATATTAGCTTTGTGCTTTTGGGGTATTGCATTTGTGATTCCCGTTTTGGAAAAAAGCCAAGTTGCATATCGTGTGGCTCGGCACCTCTAAAGGCAATACTGATTCTTGCTTACCTGGTCCCTGTCTGTCAAAGCCTGAAAATTGCATCTCTTTTGATCGATGGGACGTCTTCATCATGCCTCGTACCTTTCTAGATACTTTTTTTTTTTAAATACAATGCTAATTCCAATTGTGCATGCATGTCATGGGCAGTGGAGGTGATAATTAAATGGAGAGGTTTGATATCGGGTTAGTAATCAGGTGGAGAAATTGGCATGAAGGGACAAAGGAAGTTAACAACGTTATTTGTGTGAGCATAGTACACAGCGAGCAGCTGAGGACCCGACTTGCGTTTTGTGCTGGTGTCTCCGAGTGTTTTGGTGGTTGTTTTTTTTCTGTTTTTGATCCACAGGCAAACAAGAATGTACATTGGCTTTTTCTATAGTAATAAAATAAACACTGCCAAGGAATATTTATTCCCAGGTGCTCGAACATGATTATCTGTACTGGCAAGTTATCCAAACGATCCTTGGCAAGGTTTTTGGCCCATGCCACCTAGCCTCTCCCAACAACTTCTCCCAGTGATGAGGAACTACTGTGGTCCAAATTCTGTGCCTGATAGGCAGCTGGAGCGTTACCTGCTCTGAAGCCTGAGGGTGTCGACGCCAGCTGACCTCAGTGTCAGAGAACTCTTCTGGGCGTGTTTAAATGTTGTGTATAGACGGTAGCTGTTAAGAGCCAGAAGAGTTTCTGTCCTTGTGCGAAATCCCATGGTCAGTATCATTCAAGGTGACACCCCTTCCTGAAGAAAGTTACGTGTTGATGATTTGTACCGTATCAGCTTTAAAATGCTACTACTTTATATGTGGGATAAACTGGAAGATGTCACGCTAGCCCTTCCACTTTCAGAGAAGCTGTAGGTACGGAGTATTTGTAAGGCGTCCTTAGCTGCATAACCACAGCTGTTGTGAGTGTCCAGTGTCTTAAAAGTGAAGTTGGCATGGTGCTTCTCCGAGTCAGTATTTGTTCTGCTTTCTTTATGAAGAATTAAAATCCATCAGTTATTTTACAGCATGTTTTTATAGCTGATTTTGCAATGTAATAGTCATTATCACCATTTTAAATCTCTTGGCCCTTCACATGCCTTGGGTTGCTTCTTGATGGGAAGTTGCAAAGGAGTTACGTGAACGTAATGTTTGTAAAATGCTTTGAAGGTGAAAAGCTCTACAGTATGTTTTTATTGTTACTGGAGGCAAAGTGAGCAGGAGTGGCTTAATGTTGGGCTGTTCATTTCCCAAGAGATGGCTTTGTTTTGAAGAGTGTGCATTATCAGTTGGGTTGGAGACAAAATTGTGCATTTCAATCCTGAATATAAATAAATTGGCAAGCTTTCTACTTTGAGATTGTTTGCAGGAGGTAGTTGTAGAAGAGCAGAGCAGTTATGGTACTGTCTATGGCTCTATTCTTAGCTTATGTTTGATGGAACAGTTATTTAATGTATTTGGCTTCTACTGTCCAAAGGTATTTTGAATCCAATCCATTCAAACATCCTAATATGTATAGCAGTAATCTTGTATCTATGTGATCTGTAGACATGAGATGCTTATTTGAGAAGTGTGTATATTTGAGATATGTATTGCTCTTCTAGAGATAACTTCAGTTTGTGGTCTGCATTGAGAAATGGTGACATTTTATTTGAGTTTGGTTTACAGACAGGTTTTCACATGTTCAACCTGCCACATATAAAAGAGCGGCTTTTTTAGTAGTGCTTTAAATATTTCTTGAATCATTTTTATTTCCAGCCTGTATTTGCATGGTAAACTGATAGGTGGTTGTACAGGGAGGAAAAAAAAAAAAAGCGCATGCTGTTTGGAACTTATGAAGGCAATTCTGAAGCTACTGCTGCTTCCTCGTGAGTGAGAGAAGGGAGGGAGCTGCATCAATCAACTGAAAATTCAACTGCAGCTTGCGAAGCGGGGAACTGCTTTGGGGACCCCGATGTCCTGATGTGGTCCATTGTCTCCATGGCCCTCGCAGCGGGTCGTTGCTCCCACCCGGCAGCCTTGTTCCGCAGAGCTGTTCCGTGGTGTCAGCACAGGGTGCCTTTGGGGAGCCGGGGGTTTCTGGAGCAGCTCTTGCCAGCGGAGGGGCCGGGGCCAGGCACGGGACACTGCATCCCTGCAGCCCTGAGCCAGCTGCCTTGCTCTGTGCGGCTGCAAAAGCTTTGGGCTCCTACCTGACACTTGCAGAAATCGTTGTGGAATTCGCTGATTCTGCCAGACGCGAGCTAAACACTTGTTCCCAAGCGGTGTGTCCCTCAGTACAGCTGTTGGCTATGAAAAACATGCAAGGGCTTTCAGCTGTAATAACAGAGCTTTGCTGAAGTATTGCAAGCTCAAAATATTCCGAGTAATACTATCAAGTAATACCTCCTTGCTTAGCTTATAGGGAGCTTTATTGCCCTGTGCTTCAGTTAAAATGTTCATTTATTGTCATCACTTATGTCAGCGGTGGGGAGAGAGGGAGGCTAAATTTTCCCTGGGTACTGTCAGTAGGGATTAACTGACGTTGTTGGGCAGTGCTTTCAAAATATTCTGACCTATTTACACAACAAAACTGATCAGAACAAAATAAACAGTTCTGGTCAGCGGGTGAATGCTGTATTTTGGCAGCTATATTTGGCAGTGGATGTTCTCAGAATTTTTCCAACGTAGACAGAATCTGAACGCCACAGAAATTTTAAGCTTTAAAAACAGATAATACCCTTACTGAGTAGCTTGGTTCTCCTGTTGTCTTTTGAGGAAAGGGAAAGGGGACAGTTTGGCCATAATTCATTTGGAACAAATGCTTACTAAGCAACTGACAAAAGAAACTATAGATATACCATTTTGCCATGCAGGGTAATAAATAACTGCATCATTTCCAGCAAGGCGTGGTATATACCTGAGAAATGGTGGATCTCTCTCCAAGGTGTAATCTCTGCAAAGAAACATTAAATAGGGAATTGTGACAGCCTGTAGGAATTGCTGGTTTCCTCCTTGGGTTTTGTTTTTCCCCGCTATAACAACCATAGTGGATACTTGCAATTACCTCCTCGTTTTTAAGTGGTATCCCCTAAGGAATGAATCGAGATAAATGTTTCATTTTAGCTATTTGGACAACTATTCCATATTTCCTGGGTCACAGATTTTTGGTGGTTTGGAGGATAAAATTGCCTGACACTCAGGATAGGAAATATTCTCTTTCTGTCTTGCGTCTTCAACTCAGATTCTGAGAATACTGCAATGAAGCCTTTTTAAACTTGTCTTTTTTTTCCCAATTCCATTTAGTGATAGTCCCAATGCTGTCCATGAGGTGGAAAAGTGGTTACCACGACTGCACTCAGTTGTCATAGGACCGGGCTTGGGTAGAGATGAAGTTCTGCTTGAGAATGCTAAGGTAATGTGTATATTGATATTTTATTCTGTGTCTTTATGTTGAATTTTATTAACCAATTTCCTATCTTTTACATGATTGCACAAGTGTTTTTGATAGGTTTACTACATAACAAATTTAATAAAATATTGTTGGCTGAAAATTACAACTGTCAGTCATGGTCTGCCTTATTAAACTGTAAGCATCAGTCTGAATTTTAGGCACCCATATGGTTGTTTTGATTTGCTTTTGTTTTTATTGTGAAAGTCACTAATTAAGAAATAGATGTTGGCGTCTCTAGATACAGGGCTCTGTGTTTTCTTATGTGCAAAGCACTTGTACTGTAAGAACATAAATGTGAATTTGAGTTCCTAATTTTCAGAACCGTGTTTGACAACTTGTATCAGGAGACGTACCAAAGAATAGGGACTGTGTCTTCTTGCGATACGAAGTAATACTCTTAATTATAAAATGTTCCAGATTTCTACTCTGGATAAAGAGGTAATCCTATTTTCTGTCAAGCCTTAGTGGAGAGCTGAAAACAGGAGCTTAGATAGTTCTGTACTCTAAATAATATGTACTTACAGTGTCTTCCAGCTGATGTCTTGTATTACTGTCGACACATCTTTATATGTTCAAAGTGTATCTTTCAGTCTAATGTCAATCTAATTTTGTACAATTTAATTTTTTTTTTCCTGAGAAGTATTACTGAATTAATCAGTGGTACTAAGGAGTGGAATTAATATGATTTACAGAAATGTTAACAGTTACATGGTGAAATTGCAAAACGGGAGGCAAGAGGCTGGAGACCACGCTGTCCGAGTAGTTGGGAATACCTTGAGAGCTATGAAGATTGGTTTTGCTAGGCCTTTGTTAGAGAAAGTTGCTGTTGGAGCTCTTTCCTTCTGAAGTTCTCCTTCTGCTTCCAAAAAATGTTTGGTTGGTGATATAGAGGTGTAAAACTAATGAAGAGCATGGATTCAGGAAGAAAGAAAAAATAAATTTATTACAGCTGATCAAGAAATCAAATTCTATTCTGAGTGAAAAAGTTGAACAGAGATTTTATTCTTTTTTGAAAACATTTTTTCAGTATTCTTTTTCAGAAAAAAACTGAACAATGATTTGGCTTTTTAAATTTCAATTTTTTTTCTAAAGGAAAACTTTGCACAAAAGAAAATAAGAATTCATTTAGAATATGTAAGGTATCTAATGTAAGCTTTTATATCAGAATTCCATCTGGGTTTTATAAATAACTGTCAATGTATTACAGAAATATCTGGAAGATTCCGTGATTTATTTTTTTTTTTATTTTCCCTTCCATCATTGCTAACAATAATTTTGATTTCTTGGTGAATTACAAACATGCTTCTACTTCAGCCTGGTTGTCCTGTGTGAGCTAGCTTAAAGTTAAAGGAACAAACCCAACCAATGAAGACAAGGCATTTGGAAGTTACTTTGTGCTAAAATCTCAGGCCACGTTCATATGAGCTGTGGATCTGACCTTAACAATTTCAAGTCACATTAAAGCTCAAGTTTTGTGTCTTCACTGTAATCATGTAAGTGTTGATTAGTTACCCAGTGTTGGTTTTTTTTAATCCAGCTATCATAATCTAAATTCTTTATTTGGCCAAAACTTTTAATAAGTACATGTAATTGGGGACAAGTGAATCCTGATTGCCTGCTTGAGGAAGACAAGTGCTTCTCTGTGCTGGGGAAAGGCTGAGTCTGCCTCTTGCTTCAACAGTGAATTTTAAGCTTTGTATCACTCTTCACCTTCAAGAAAAAAAGCAAGCGATGACAGCATTGCTATTTTAAACTTTTATAGGAGGCTGGCTTGGTATATAATTTTCTGTTTCCCCTTTAAGCTAACCTCAGCATGCTGTCACATGAATATGGGGCTGAGATGTAGACTAGTGTCTGCTTTCTGGTCAGGGTTTTGTATCAGAGTGGCAGTGACGATGGGAGAGAGCTGCCCCTCTTCCTTCTCCTGGCCCATTAAAGTGCTGAGGCGTAGTGCTCTGTCAACTCTCTGATGCTGTTCTTATGTCAGTTCTTGTCAGTATTGTGCCAGCACATTGCCAATGAATGTGCTTGTCCAAACAGTTGTGTTTGGTCTGCTTCTCTCTTCTGAGCATTAAGAAAATAAGATACTAATTCAGTAACCTCCAATTTCTGGTATATGGCCCATGGACAGTGTTTTATTGGGGAATAGCCCCAAGTACTTGTTGACCAGATGGTCCATTTACTCTCTCCAGACCAAAGAATACTTTGCTTCCTCAGCATTTTTACTGTGTCACCTGCCTCCCTCATGCTTAATGCCTGCAGTGTGTGCACTGTGGCATTTCAACTCCTTTATAGACAGTCTGATGGAAAAGAAGCACCTTGTGATCAGTTTCCTTTGATTTCTATTTGTTTTCTTTTTTTTTTCCTTGAGAGCATAGTGATACTCTTTGACTACTTTTTTGCTGTAATTCCATTTACAAGTCCTGTTACAAGAAGCCACTCTGCAAGTTGCATCCCTCTTTCATACACCACTTGTGTGGGGCTGTGCCAGAACCCTCACATGCTGTTCCTCAGCTGCCTGGGTGAGGGCTGATGCTCTGTCAGAACTTTCTAGCCATTTGTTTGCAGGACCAGGAGCTGCAGCTTCAGAAAATTCTGCTGAAGAAAGCATTTGTTCTGTCCTAATAGCTGTGCAGCTGGATCCCATGCAGATCTGGCAATCCTAGTAATGGCCTTGTTAGACTGTCCAACTCCGGAGCAAATAACCGGTCCAAGCCATTTCTCTTCAAGACAAAGGAACAAAACCACATTGGTGCTCCACTTCTCAGCTCTGGAGTGCACAGATTGAAGCCCCTCTGCTCCCTATTCTGCTCCAAACTTCCGACATGCTGTTACCACATCAGGTGTGGAGCTTAGCTACCACAGCCAGGTTCCTTGTAGGCAAAATCAGCCCATCTGTTTTTCCCTTTCAGTGTCCGTGACTGATTCTGGCCAGAGATGACAGTACGGTTACCTCCCCGAGTTCATCTCAGTTGGTGTGCTGCTGGTGGTGGTTTGGACTCTGTTGAGAAAGAGTTTAATTGCCACGTGGAAGCAAGGCCAAGGTCCCTACAACTGTCCTCTGTCAATGCTTAGAAGCGGCGTATTTCCAAAGCTGTTGAGTGTTCTTTTTTCACACAGCAGCAACATTACGTCCCTGTCATATCTACCCACCACAGCGTTCTTCATTCATCCGTTCCAGGGGTGCTTGCACTTCTGGTCTTACTGTGATATGATTTTTCTTGTAGCCTGAGGTTTGGAAGTAGCGGAATTCCCACCTCTAATGTCAAGAGCTGTTCCTCAGGTTTGTGAGAGAACCAGGTTCCTCTCCTGCAGGGTGATGAGTGCAGCTCCTGAGAGGACTTTGGGAAGAGTATTGTACCCCTTGCGTAGTGCTCTGGGAGAAGAGCCGATGCTGCCTGATGCTCCAGGGTGTTCTGCATTCTGCTGCTGCCAGCAGTGAGGTAGTTATGGGCTTAGCTGTGTCCTGCATCAGTTGCCAGCCTCCTGTCATCTCCTTTCTCCTCTTGCTTATGAATGTGATCTTCTTGTCGAATTTTCTGCTTTTGAGTTTGGCGGATCTTTACGGGCTTTGTGGTCAAATGGACTAATATGGAAATGTTGGTGGGATAGTGGTTACGGTTGGGATCAGGTAGAGAAAAGCATTCATTGTTATGAAGAGCCTTGTCCTTAACTGAAGTAAGACTTTGACATTGGAATCGTCACTGGGTTCCTTGCCTCTGTCCCTGAAATGGTAGCACCAAATCCTGGACTCTGCCACTCCAGTCTTGCCATGTTTTGTCTTGCAGCAGCAAAGTTAGATTGGTGTTTTCAGCAGAGCGTGCTTGCTTCCCTCCTGTAAGAGTGGTAATGATTAATAGCAAGAATGGCTCTGTGGAACTCAGATTATGTGGTAAAATCAACTGGGTTTTCTAACTGCGTACTTGTTCCTCTTGCTCAATTCTCAGTCTTTGTTTTAACTCCAAGAAAATGTCCTGAATACCAGCCTGGGTTCTGCTTTTGGCTGAGGCCCTGCCTAGCTGCCATTTCTGCCCGTTGCTGTTTCTGTTTCTCTCCCCTCCAACCCCCTCACCCTGCAAACACTACCCTTAGCCAGTCATTTGCACTTAAAGATCTGTGCGATCTGTTGAGATATAAACTTCAGAAACCTCATATTCTACCCCTAGTGACATCATCTTAAGGTTGTGTGGCGATGTCTTGGCTGTAGTTTACATCTAGCAAAGGGTGGGAGAGGTGTGGGCCATTGTCGTGGATCACCTCCATCCAGTGTGCCCAGAGAGAGCCCATCTGAAATTTTCTTTCAGGTGGATTCTCAGTTCCACCTTGACTCAGGTATCTGCCTTTCTGTGTTTGTGTTTGGTTAGCTGGATTAATGTCTCCCTTTGAAGCCTTAAGCCCTTCAGGATTTAGGCAACACTTCACAGCCTTAAGAAATCATGAGAATGGGACTGGGTGCTTCAGTACACTATCTTCACTAGTTTTTGCAAGATTCAGAGGACTACAGAATACAGAGCCACATTTTGTTGTCATAGCAGTCTGTTGTTAAAGCTAAATCTGCCTCTGTGGGCATTGATAAGCATTTTCATCTTGGTACCTGAGCAGCACCCCGGGTTGTGTTTGTGCCAAGTATAAGACACGTGAGAAGCATCCCAGGCTCACGCTGCAGTCGGTAGATTAGTAGTGTTGTCTGTGGTACCTACCATCACGTGTGGGTATGAACAGCAGGATGTGTTAACTCTTTGGAATCGCTGCTCGTGTCGGCTCAAGTTAGCACAAGATTATTTACAGAAACTTCATTCTTCAGTATGTGTCACATCTGAATTTACTTCCCACCCTGTGTTTGTCCTGTTGAGATTACTGCTGTGGGGATTCTGCAGCTCGTAGGGAGCTGCCGTGGCAGTGAGGACACGCCACTTGCTGTTCTCAGCCCTCAGCTGGGAGGAGGTCAGGTAGATGGGATC